GTTTTGATGGACTAAAATCTCACCTGATAAGTAATTGATAGTGTTGAATTTTAACGGTAAGCACTTACCCGGATAAGCGTTAGTAAACATCCCCTAAGAGTGTTTGGTTGGGAATATTAAAAGTTCATTAATGAAAATGATAATAATTGATGATGTTTGGTTGAAACAAGAAACGAAAAATGATGTTTGGTTTCGAAAATATGATTAACGATTATAATAGATTTGATTAAGGGGGTGTTTGGGATTGCTTATAAAAACAACTTATTGATTTTTTCATGTGTGACACCGGTAATAATTATTTTTTAGTGTTTGGATAAATAACTTATACCGGTGTCAAACCGGTAATAAAAAAATTTTGAAAAAATTAAACCATTCATACTTATAATAAATTGATAAAACATTTTTATATAAAAACATAATTTGTTTCGAATAGACGATCTCAAACATGACACCCGCTAAAATCCATTGCTCCCCAAATTAGGGTGAATAGGAAGCAACCTACGAGATCTTCTCCAAAAATGGAGAATATGGCAAGTGAAATCAACAGAGCATCAAATCAACACCAAAAAAAATTAGAGAACGTTGCAGATCGAATCGGGAAACAGAACATCAAGAAAGATAACATCTTCTCAGTGTTCATCTTCATCTCCAGAAGCATCTAGAAGCCTAGTCAATCGTTCAAATCTGGTCGATTCTCATTTGTTGCTTTCATCTTCATTCGGTTCTTCATCTTTTCGATTTCCATTTGCAACCTTTATCTGGTTCGATTTCCGTTTGCAGATTTCATCTTCATCTGTTCAAAATCAAGCCAATTTCGATTTTTGTTAGGGTTAGTGAGTAATCGATTTCATTCATCAGTTTGATTTTTGTTAGGATTAGAAATATATTTTGTTCCAGATTTTCTGGTTTTGAAATGAATTTTCTTCGTTTATGTTCTTCATATGTTCGATTCTCTTTTGATTTTCATTTGTTCTCCATCTTCCTTTATTTTCATTTGTTCCAGATTCTGATTTGATTTTCATTCATTTCCATCTTCATTTGTTCCAGATTCTGAGTTTAACCGGTTTAGAAACATATTTTTGTTAGGGACGTTGTTTGAGTTTTCATCTTCAAATTTGATTTGTTCAATCTTGGGAGTTGTTTGATTTTTCATCTTCAATTTCGATTTGTTTAATCTGGAACATTGTTCATCTTTTTCATCTTCAATTTTGATTTCTGCAATTGTGATGTTATGGAGTTTGGACAAAGTAACCCTCATTTATATATGCCTGATCCTTTTATCATTCTCTTAATTTCCTATCTTTGGTTATCAGCAATTCTTTGAGCATGGCTGATCCTCTGTACTCGGTCTGCTTATCTCTGGTAATCTCCTGTTTCTTAATGTTCATGGCTATTCCCATATGATTCTGCGCGCAAAGGGCGCAAGCTGTCAGATGACATTCAGGGCAGTGTAACCGGGATCTGTTGGTTGTCAGCTGGTAGAAGAAGAAGCCTTGAGGCTAACCAGCAATCTTGATAAAAGGATTCAGCAAGTAGAACAACAAGTTCATCAGATCGGGCATCTGGTGAAAAACGTCCAAAAGATCCTACTTACATGAGTCTAACTTCAGTAAAGGCAGACGTTATATCGAAGCAAGAGCAGCTACTGCTGAGATAGAATCTCCATCCGTAGGGTTTGCAACACCCTTCGAGTTTAAAGAAGGAACTTCCAAATCGTTGGGGGCCATCATCAAGCAGAATAGCACACTTCTGTATCTGCTGATCAAACAACAACAGGGATTGACGGATCTTTCTCTTTGCTCTGCAATCCCAATCCCTGGATACTACAATAAGGACAGTCAATTGTTGGGATATTGTTATATGTGAATTTATATCATGTGCATATGTTGCATTTGGGTGTGCAAACTGTTTGGGAAATTGACCTCAACGTTTCTCAAAATCCCAAGCAATGAACAATTTATAATTTATTTTATCGGATAAGATTATAATACACTAAAATGATACTGTATGCAACAATTTATCTGGTAAGCACTTACTTGAGTAAGAGTCGACACCCTCATTTACCGAGTAAGACTCCATCTGTGTCATTTCTCTTACCGAGTAAGATTTTTTACCCTTGTTATGTTCATCAGATAAGGAAAAGTACCCGATAAGCACTTATAAGGGTTTAATAAACGGCCCCTAAACTACAATTTCAGTCCCTGTGGTTTGTCTTTTTATCTTTTTTTTTTTGTCATTCCTATCTTTTTTTTATTTTTCATGTTATACCTTTATTATATAAATTAATTAATGATAATTTTAATTAACAATAAATTAAAAATATGTATTCTAATTTATAAATTACACCAATAAAAAAAGCTTTGTTGTTACCTTTAAAATAAGTTAAGTATGTACATGTCTATTTTACCTTGTAAATCATTCTTTTCTTATCTACTAATTCTTGAAAATAAATAAAATAATGAAAATAAAGTGGTTGTTAGTTGGTTATTTATTTTTCATTTTAATAAATTAAAGTTCATATTTTGAAAAAAATTAATAATAATTATATCATAAAGTTTTTTATTTGATACACATTTAATAAAAGCATTTAATTAAATAAAATATCTAAAAATGATATTTTTTTATTATAGACATAGATAAATTTTGATTTTTTTTCTTACATAAATAAGAAAAAACAATAATTTTTTTAAATACAACTTAAAATAGAAATGTTTCTGCAGTATATATCGAATAAAAAAATTTAAAATATTCAATATTTAAAATATTTTAAAGGTATGGTAAATTAATTAAGTTTATTAAAATTTAATCTCAAAGTTTTTTTATTACTAAAATATAATATAAAAATATTTTCTTTCATGGCATTGTTTGGGATTCCTCGAAATTTTGAATATTACACTCTCTTTTTTATCTATCTTAAAAGAAAGCTTTAAATAATTTGTTAAAGCAAAAAATATGTCTAAAAGTTTTTAAAATCTTAGCTTCTCTATGGATTGGGTTCATATAAGATCAAGTTGTTTTTGTGAGACCCATAAAATCATTTTCTTACACTTAAAACTTTACAGTAAAAGACTGTAAAGATAAAAAAAATACAAACTTTTACAGCAAAACACTGTGAACGTAAAAAAATACAAACATTTACAACAAAATAGTATGAAGGTTACTTTCATAATATTTTGTTGTGAAATTTCAAATGTAAAAAAAGTGGTCTTACATGATTTTAAGTATCTTCTCCATTTTAAAAAATCTGTTATTACCTAAGAATTAGCAAATTAGCTTTGTTAATTTCTTTTTTTCTTTCTTAACATTTTTGTAGGGTTTTCTTGTTGGATAGTAGGCCATCAATTAGCTTTGTTATATTTTCGATAATTTTCCTTGACTATCAAAAATAGCATTATATACAACAATTTTATCTGGTAAACATTTATCAGTAAAAGTCGTTACCCTTACTTACCAGATAAGACTCTCCTTCCTTGTCTTGTCTCTTATCCGGTAAAATTCTCGACTCTAAACATGTTAATTTGCTAAGGTAATTAACCAGATAAACGTTTAATATGCAACAATTTTATCTGATAAATGTTTACTGATAAAAATCGTTGCCCTCACTCACCAATTATGACTCTTTACTTGTCTTGTCTTTTATCTGGTAAAATTCTCGACCCTAAACATGTTAACTTAGTAAGGTAATTAACCAGATAAATAAACGACACCGACTTAAACTCGTTCCAAATTTCAACGGTCATGAGCTAAAATTAAGAATTTTAAACCAGCATTCGATTGAAGTTCTTTTATAAGCAAAAGTCTAATCGAATGAATTTTAATTTATTAATCATTTAAGTTTTTATAATAATTAGAAGGGTATTCGTGTAATACAACGAGATACATCTTGATTTTAATGTTTTGTTTTATTATCTGTCTCTATCGATGTTATAATACGGTTTTATGTGGTTTTGAGAAAATGATAATGTTTTTATTTTTTGAATAAAATATACATTTTAAAATATCATAAAATTTGAAAAAGAAAATATATTGAAATTAGTATTAAGTTAACTATTTAAAAGTTATTGTTTTTTTGTGTAATTTCTTTTTATTATAATTTAATTTAAGGTTAATAACGAATTAATTTAGTTCTCATTCTTAAATATATTTTATAAAGATAATAATTTAATTTAAGGTTAATAACGAATTAATTTATTTTTTATTGTTAAATATATTTTATAAAGATAATAATTAAGTATTTTGTTAGAACTCAATAATTATCCTTGTTATATTTTAGATTTTTTATATTTAAAATGAAATGTTTGTCCTTTATTTGATTATGTTTATTTGCAATTAATTACAATAATTCAAACATAAAGCTTTAATAGTTGTACTTACGTATAATTTACTTGTAATCTTGAATTTTAAGTAATGTGCATCAATTAACAATACTTCATGTATAAAAAATGGTTTTTAAGAATTCTTTATCTATATCGATGTAATACGGTTTTATTTGGTTTTAATAAAACGATAATGTTTTTATTTTTGTATAAATTATAAATTTCATAAAATTTTAAAAAGATTATATAATGTTAATATCAAATTAACTATTTAAAAGTTTGTGTTTTATGTAATTTCTTTAATTTAATTTTTTATTATAATTTAATTTTATATAACAAAGTAATTTAATTTAGGTTTAATAATATAATTTTTTTATAAAGATAATAATTAAGTATTCTGTTATAAATCAATAATTATCCTAATTTTATTATAGATATTTTATATTTAAAATGAAGATGATTATCTTGTATTTGATTATGTTTATTTATAGTTAGTTGCACGAATTCAAACATAGAGTTTTAATAAGTTATACTTATATAAAATTTACTTGTAATCTTGAATTTTAAGTAATATACATCTATATACAGTATTTTGTACATAAAAAATAATTTTTAAAAATTTTTGTTAAATACTTTATAATATAGTATAGATTAAAAACGTAGCCTCCCATCCATCCCACAAAGTGAACAAACGATGCTTATAGCTTGTAATTTAATTGTATGGTTTGTATAATATAATTTAATATGAGAAAATGGTAACATAACAAACTAAAATCATGCTTCACCCTCATCTGTACTTTGTTTATTCATACGGCTTCTCAGTTCTTCAAATGCCTTCATGCTCTCTGCATCAAACCCTCCTGCAAACTGCAAACCCAATAACCAAATCTCAGCATTTTCTCACTTTTAAACGACCAATTAGATTTAACCCAAGTGGATAACTACTTACCTGATGAACACGAAACGCAAAACGTACACCCTGAAGCACCAAAAATTCTCTGTTTGGTTCCTTTTCTGGTCCTTCCAACCCATCCAGCTCCGATGCAACCCGCTTCATGTATTTCCTAGCCAGTTGCACCGACGACAACTTGATCTGCAAAAAATGCTTCCCTTTTAGTCTCTGAGTTCGATTTCTTTTGTAAATAATTTTCCAAATCGACCATACCTTGCCTACAACTCCTGAATCTTGCAACCAGTTAACTGGGATGCCAAATTCTTTATATCTTGACATAGCCATGTCTCTTGTACGTAGTAATGCATAAACACTGTTCTCCACTCTGAAAACAATCACCACATTCTACATCTTAGTAACATCATCAAAGTCTGATCAATTAGAGATGCATTTTGCAAAGAGATTGTTTCTGTGACTTCAACCCATGAGTTTGGAATCAGAAAGGAGAGTAATTTTAATTCAATCTTTTTGATAATAGAAGGAAAGAGAAGAGATTCATGATCAAGAATGAAGAGTTCTGATACATACTTCTCTAGCAATTTGTACATTTTCTTCAAAGCAGCTTCACAAGAGAGACTTGGATCATCGACAAAATTAGACACTTGTTTTTCAAGTTTCATCAGGTCCTGGTATTCGAAGGCCGCTTCTCTAAACGCATCTGCTTTTCCTTCTGGCCAGTCGAAGTGCTTCAGGACTGCCCGCTCGTCAACCTTTCCAAACACAGACAGACATCCTAACATAAGTAACATGTCGCTTTCTTTCGATTTTGTTACATCTTATTTGTTGTAAATTGTTAGAAGTTGATATTTCCATCTAAAAAGAATGTCATAAAACAAGTTATGTACCAAGAAAGAGAGTTCTTCATCTAGCCAGTTCACGAAAGTCAGTAAATCAGCTATGTCTGTAAAGGAAGCAGCACGGACTTCAGATGCAAGTGACTCAACAAAATCACCTTGAGTTTCAACATCTGCTTTTACCTGAAAAAAGACAATGCAAAATGTACCTTAGGACCATGTGCCAACTAGTAATATATGTACTAAATTCAAGCGAAAGTTAGAATCTTGACACATACGGCTAATAAGAATGTTGATCGGTTCTCTATCTCGCCAATCATGTTACTCCTGGCATCCGCTGTGCTAGCTGCAGAAGCAGATACGATTGATGTATCCTTCTTAGCTTCACGCTTCATCAAGCTCTGGTAGAATTCAACCAACTCTGGAGCCCTGTGAACTTTATCACCACCACCTGCTCCTTTAGCAAGACTTCCTGGTGGAGGAGGTGGACGAGGTGGCCCACCAGGTGGCGGTGGTGGTGGTGGAGCACCCGGTGGAGGAGGTGGAGGAGGAGGCAAACCGCCAGATATTCCGCCTGATGGACTAGCAGTGGTAGCAGGAGAGCCTCCAGTAGGTCTAGGAGGCGGCCGTGCAGTCCTTGGTGGTCTCTTTTCGATGTGGGCAAATTGCATCTTGCTCACGGATGGTGAACTAGTAACAATTCCATCAGTAGGCTGATCACCTGAAGTGTTAGCAGGTATTACTACTCTTTCCTTAACTTGAGCAAGTTTTGGCGGCAAACTCACCGGCCTACTATTATTTGGTGGCTTGAAACTTGAAGTATCGCCAAACCTCACTGCTCTAGCTTGATCAGCTTTTTCCTTAATTTTCTTCTCCCTCTCTAAAGCAAGCTTATGACGATCTTTGTATGCAGGATATTTCTCATCTAGAACTCCTTCAACTGACTTTGACATTAAGTGAAATGATGACGCAACATTGTTTAAATCAGTAGGAGCATTCCCTGTGTTGATACGAGGAAGATTTGGAGTTTCTGGAGAGTTAATAGAATCTTGATCGCCTTCCCCAAAAGTAGTGATGGCTACAGATTCACCTGCGTTCCTTAGCATGAGAGCTTCTAAAGGACCTCTGGGTTTCTGGCTAATGCTAACCCGAGGAGACCCTCCTGAAAATGATCTTGCAGGTGAAGAGAGTGCACTAGAATCCTCTTTGCTTTTGCCCCATTTCTTAAGTTTTTGAATCAAACTTGGCTTTTTACTAAAACTGCTGTATCTACTCATGGAACTGTCGATGGAAGCAGTATCAAAATCTTCGCTTCCAGGAGAGGATGGTTGAGAAAAGTTGCTCTCGAGATCCGTATCACCTCCTTGTCCACGTTCCGACCCTGCATACTCTAACATCAGTTGTTTAGCCTTTTCCTGGGATCTCGGGCTCAAATTCTTGTTGAGGTCACGAGCTGACGTTCTCCCTGCTGGTGTTTCGTAGTTTCTAAGCTCAAACCTCAGACATGCATTGACCCAACGAAGGTAAACCAACTCCTCAACTTCACTAAACCTGTTCATTTGGAGTCCTTCTACTTGCTTTAAGAGGTCGTCATTTGTATGCTTCAACTTATTGACCTCCTCTCTAACACTGGCCACCATTTCAGTCTGTAGCAGCATGAAAAAAAAACATAAAAACCAAACCAAACAAACCCAGTATATCCCACCCAGATGTGGGGTCTAGGGGTGGATGTATGCAGACTTGACCTCTACCTCAAAGAGTAGAGCAGTTGTTTTCGTAAACACCCCCAGCTTGTGCAAAATGTGGGAAAAGAAAGGATAAAACTTGCTAAGAGAGAACATAATAAGTAAGAAGTAAAATCATGTTAGAAGTAAGCAACAACATTCACACAGACAGGCAAACAACAAACAGAACATACAAGCAGACAAGAAAACATAACCAAGGTAGGAATAAACTTACACCCCCACAATCTACTGCTGGCTCACTAACCCTACCCTCACTAACTCTACAGATTCCCACCCATAGTAGATTATCTTGCATCTCCAAGAACTCTTACGAGTGAATAGTAAAATAGAGCAACATCAACCTACGACGATTTGAAGGCATTAACCTGCCAAATAAAAGAAGTAAGATGCAGTTGAAAAGGTTACCTCGGTCGTACAGGATAGTGTTGCTATTCTGGACTCTGCTGCATCCAGCTTAACAACCAACTGTCTCTTCTCATGCTGAAGCTCTCTGTTCTTTCTCTTAAGTTCCACAACATCCACCTCTAGTTCCTTCAAAGTTTTTAACTTCTTATCAATATCAGTGTCTTTCTTGAAGGCATCCTGTTCCTTTGTCTGAAGAATCCCTACTTGTTGCTTCAATAACAACAGTTGCCCTTTGGTCTGGTTTGCCTCTAGTTGAAACTGCCTTTGAAGCTCCTTGATTTTATTCCTGGCTGCCTCCAACTCCTTCTTGTAAGAAGCTCCATGAAGCACTTCTTCTTGTAGCTTTTTTCTCTCGGTCTGCAAAGAATTGATCGTGATGTTCAGCATATCAATCTCCACTGTCTTAATCTTTAGCTGCCTTTGTAATTCTACAATATCAGATTCTTGTTCCTTCAACCCATAGTATTCAAGTAGTTCACCTTCAAGCTTGACTTCTCTCTCCTCGAGCTCTTTGACTAAGTGGCGTAATCTTTCCAGTTCGTTTGCATTGATAGCCAACTCAGTTTCATATGCCCTATCTTTCTCGGCCTTGGCACCGGTTCCTGTATCGTATTTGTCCCCTGGATATGGAATATCAATCTCACCTGATAAAAGATTTTCAAATTCCGGCAGAATGTCATCTTCAAAATCAGAATTGCTCGGCTGCACATTGATTAAACCACTAATTAGTTTGACCTCTTCTTTCTCCTCTTCCTCTTCAACATGCTGCATATACAAAAAATTACTCATTCATTTCTCACAAACAATCATATCCAAATAGTATGAGAATGGAATATGTACTATAGAAGCCAAATATAATAAAACTAACGAAGAATCATGTAGTTGGCTATCAAACTTCTGCAATAACACATACCTCCGTTTCTCCGAGGCTATTTTTATTATGCTGTTTCTCCTCCTCTTCTCTCTGATGCTGCTCAGAGGTTGATTCATCATTTCCTGATCTCCAATTTCACCATAGAGGCATAGAGCAACATCAGTATTCATACAAGGACATAGAAAGAAGCACATCTCTTTCTTGATAAACAATAAAACTTCTTCCAGATAAGAAGTCAACAAACTGTGGACATAATAACTAATCAAAATAGTTCCACATGTTACAAAATGGAGTCTAGGAACAAGAATTACCTCCAGATTTAATTAGAGGAGCCGATGATGGAGGACTCTTGACGTTAACCTGCTTAACTGCATAAGCTGCAATAGATGCAGCAACGAGGAAGCCTAACCTGACAATCATGTAGGTTTTGTGAATAGGAAATTATGAAATTTCCACTCATCTATAGATATAGCCCACCAAAATCCAAAAATCCTTTCAACCAGCATCCCAGGACTCCACCATTCAAGCCATCAATGCAGCTCAAATGAAACAGATCTAACACAGAATCCGTATCTGCACAAGTCCTAGGACTAGAAGAATTCTTCTTCAGAATCTTCAGAAATAACAAAATAATTTTTGAGCAATATCAAACCACAAACAATTCCATAAAAGAATTTTCAAAGTTTCTGACAGTCAGAATCTCATCACGTTGGTAGATACTAGGAGCTACACCAACCACAGATATCTAGTGGACAAGTTCTGTTTCCATAGGATTGCCATTCTTTAAAATGGGTGGGTCTGGTCTTGTTTTAAATTTCTAATGAGTACAATGCTCAACAACAACGAATTTACAGACTGAAAACGACTTCGGTGACTGTAAAAATGAATCCCGTGTTCTTGTTCAAGATTTATGTAGTTCCAGAAGTTTGTTAAGAGTTTAAAGAGGACAAGCCATTGTCTTGACTTTATTTTATAACAATTAATGCTGGTAGATATCCCAGCTTACTTAGATGGCCTTTATCCACTCAAATTCTAGAGTTCTTGAACCATGTATGTTGTTATCTTGATATTCAAGTTTGAGAAACACCCACCAATACTAACCATTGGATCAAAGATCGATCTCTATTTTTATCTTCAGTAATTCTAAAAAAGACGCTCGAAAGGAAATCTTGAATCAGGATGGTTGGATCACTTAGGTTGGTGCAATCAAAGAGTGAGGATCTAAATGGAGGAGGTGGGACCTCGTCATACGACAAGTGCAAAAAACGGGTGCTTCTTTTGTTGGCGTTGATGGAAAATATAGGGGTAGATGAGAAAGGTAAGTTCACAAAAGAAAGGCAGAGATTGACCTTGCTTTCATGGATTGATGCCTATGGCATATGTGAACCAAAGTTCATGATAAAGAGAGTAAAACAAAACCTTATCTGTGGCTATAGAAAACAAGACTCTGTACCCACATATTGGCCCCTTTGGATCTTTGTGCTCATTAATAATATGGTAGGTGGAATAAAACCAGCAAAAGTACTTCATGACCAGAGTAATTTTAATGACAAGCGCAGTTACACCTTCTAAGAGTGGAATATTATTTGCAACAACCAATATATCATTTGGAACAATAGTTGATTAATTTCACTACCGTTTTATAAAATGCAACATTTGACTTGAAATGTAATTTAATAAGAATCTTTGATTAAAGATAAAGGGAAAATTGCACCAAAATGGAACCAACTTTCACTTAATTCTTATTTTGAGAAACCAACTTTCAAAATCGTTATTTTGGGGAACCAACTTGCACCTGATTCTTATTTCGGGGAACCAACTTTCAAAATCGTCATTTAAAAGAACCAACTTACACCTAATTTCTATTTTAAGAAACCAGCTTGCAAAATAATTATTGAAAAATAACTAAAATTCATTTTTTTCCAAAAATTAATGCAATAAAATCTATTTTTCATTTCAAATCTCGTTTTTTTATTCAGATTTCAAATTGAACATTTTTAAAAAAAAATCCAAATTACCACAATAAAAATTATTTTTACTAATGTAAAAAAAATCAATTTAATAGAAAAAATTAATTGATGCAATTGATTAGATATAAAAATCTTGAATGTAATATTTAATATTTATTTTTATTGTATCAATTAATTTTTTCTATTAAATTGATTTTTTTGCATTAGTAAAAAATAATTTTTATTGTGGTAATTTGGATTTTTTTTTAAATGTTCAATTTGATATCTGAATTAAAAAACGAGATTTGAAATGAAAAATAGATTTCATTGCATTAATTTTAAAAAAACGAATTTTAGTTATTTTTCTATAACTATTTTGCAAGTTGGCTCCCCAAAATAAGAATCAGGTGCAAGTTGGTTCTCCAAAATGACGATTTTGAAAGTTGGTTTCCCAAAATGACGATTTTAAAAATTGGTTCCCCAAAATAAAAATTAGGTAAAAGTTGGTTCCATTTTAATGCAATTTTCATAAAGATCAAATACCTAAAGTTCCCATAATAATAAAAACTAAGAAAAGTTGTGGACCACAATCAATCTGACAAAAATCTCCTAATAATCTATAAGAAAGAAATAATTAAATCCAGAAAAAATCTTTTCATAAATGAAAACGTTGCATTTTTTAAGCAACCCAAAATAAAAGGTGTTTTGCAATTTTATTTTGGGATAGAGAAGGTACTTTGTCTCCTAAAAGTAGAAACTATTTTTTAACTTTCAAGAGTTACGATGGCTAGTTTTTAAAGTCTGTATAATTTGGTTATAAACAAAAAAACTGATAGCTTAAATGTTTAAAATATAAAAACTACAAAAATAAATGTAAGTTTTGGAACTGGGAAGTACTACAATTTACAGTGTGCGCATCGAAAAGATTAAAAGTGAAGAAATATACTCGATTGTCATGATAGTAAATAGGAAGCTTAACTACAAATTTGAAGGATAAAGTTATATCTATCACTTGAAACCTTTATTTGCTTGATTGCTTGTCACTCGAAACTCAGATGGTGAAAATAAGGGTAAACTATGTTTAAATATATTCCTAAAAACAGAACATTACAGTTAACGAGACACCCCGACTCTACAGTTAAAACTATTGCAAATTTCCTCTTTGGGGGGAGTGGGGGATGAAGTGGTTTTTGATAAATTGTAATCCTGCTAGGTGCCAAGAGACTCTGGACCACTGTATTATGGGATCATACTACTTGCATAAAGAACAAGGAACCTAGGCCTTGGTTATGGGAAGACCTTACATCCTTTAGGGCTCTTATCCATCCATCATCTGAGACTGAGGATGAGTCTAACTAGAGACAGATAAAACTGCAACTACAAATTCTCTTCTAGCCTCCACTTTCTAAAGATAACATGTTGGTGACAGGTAAATTTAGACATTCTATGTTGTTTTACAAAGTTCAAGAAAAATAAACTTAATTTTTATTTCTATTTCTATGTTCATTTACCAGGCTGAGCATTGATACCAAAAGAACAGTTGTCTACAATTGACTAATATATAATCTGCCTGGCTGCCTGTATGGCACTGTTGAAAAATCTGTTTAACCTAAGCTCCCTATTTGAGATGGAACCTTTTACTTTGCATTCAAGTAGTCCAATCCATCTATGGGTATGCTTGAAATTAACTCCTATCCTTCAAGATAAATTACATGAACATGTAGATGCAGATTTATATACCTTCAAGAACAATTGTCGCATCCAATTAAGTTCACAAAACCACATTCGCATCCAAAACTATATTATAAAGAAAAGAAAGAAGTTACAGACTACACTGTCACTTTGAGGCTTTGTCTTATCAAAGGCACACCAGAATTTTGAATCCTTTGGCTTAATTCCAGACCAACTTGGAAAAATAAAACAGGGAAAGCTCCAGAACCTGTGGCTTTATTCTCTAAATCAACCCTAATTTTCTTGTAAGCGTACATGTAGAAATATATATATATATATATATATATATATATACACACATATAATTACTGTTCTGTTGACAGTAATCACTAGCAAGTTCAATTCCTTCAAGAGAATTTCAATGAAAAAAAGAACTAAAGAAGGATTATTGAGCCATTGACGAAGAACTGGCTTTCATGGGCCATTCAGTAATCAAATAATAAACACATAGAGCTAGAAATGAGACTTCAGGATTACCTTTTTGCCAGAAGAGGGTGAAGTGAAAGATTGATAGTTTGGATTTGGAGGATGAAAGCGTTAGTTCGTGGTTGAGTTTCAGGATGTTAAAATGGCGCTTCAAAGAGATGAAAGCGGCTCTTGGCGGGAAGTTATTTTCAAACCCATTTATTTTCTTTTAACCACAAGCCTGATTTCTGATTGGTTTGAGTTCGGCTCCAAAAATCAAAAATACCAGCTGGTCCCATATTTAAATCTAAAGAGAAATAAAGTCCCCTTCTAGCCACGGAGGTTCAAATGCGGTGACCCTCGGGCTATCTGCAAAGCAGGTGGCCGTCCTAGGATTAGTCAGTTAGCATAGCGGGTCAGATATCCAGGTTAATTAAAAAAAAGATGCTGTAGCCCCTTCACCTACACACCATTTTAAATTATATACAAATAATTATCAATTAACACCACAATATTTTCTTCATCCAATCTGTTTTTTTAAAATGACCCTTATATCTTGTTGAGTTTTATCTCTACATCTATCACAAGCATGTACACAAGCCCCTTCGGGGGGCATAGGCCCACATACATATATAGATGAACAATCATGCAAAAAATCGGTCAATTTACAAAAAGTGAAAGAAGGGTCAAATCACAAGTGAGACATCCAAAAGGAAGTAGATAACCTGGTCAACGCAACATATTTGTATCAGGTCCTTCTCGCACTCATTCTTGTTACATACACACACATACATATATAAACATGGTAAAAATCAAATGAAGATCATAAAACTATAAAATAAAATAAAAACAGTTTACATGTATCGTTGGCTTATGCCTTGTCGAGCTCTAAATACGAAAGCTCAACAGGCTAAACAATCAAGCTTTGGCCCAACTCAAAGAGGTTTGGTGGGATCATATAGGCCCATATGAGCTCAATCCTAACTCCATCCATATGAAATCCTGTAAAATTAAAACCCATTACAAGACTATGTTTAACGGTTTAAAAATATAAATTACATTAGTTGGCCCATACAGACTCCATATCTCAGCTCATTTAGCAACGGTTCGCAGAGTTGCCAACTCCGAGCCACGCTACAGTAAAGCTTGCCAGAAGGTCAAACAAGTTGGCTCGGTTTGGTCCGCCCTTGCCTTCTTGACAAAAAAGGGTCTATACCCCTGCTGCTGCATTTAAACTGAATAAAAACAATCCCCACAAAAAGTTCAAAGAAACGAATGTTGAAAACTGCTAATCCCCCCTTCATTGCCACCATAAGAAAAGGGCACAATTTGTAACCTCCTTGTTTCTGTATCATCTCAAACCAAATGGTTTCTCAACTAAAGAACGATTTGGGTCCACAGATACCTTCTGCTCAAGAACGACTACCCCATTTCCACCTCCGCCCAACTTCCTCGAGAACCTTAGTCCGAGCTTCACCCTTTTTTGCCTCCTCCTCTATCCAAGATCTGCACCAAAAGCTACCATCAGAAAAACCATCTAAACCCCAAAAAAAATAGATTTTTTAATGTTTTAAATACATATAAGAACGAAGAACCATATTCAGAAAGTTGCATATGCACCTCAGTATACGAAGAGCTTCTAATTCAGCTTCGAGTATTGACTTTGAATCAAGAATTCTTTCAAGTTTGACCTCTAGTTCACCAACGGTATTATGGATTTTATGTTGCTTGTCCACATAGTTATCCCGCTCATTCGTAAGTCTCCTGTTCATTTCATCTACTTCTTCCTTTAGCCTAGAAAGTAGCTGCTTTTGACAGTCTAAAGCTGCTTTCTCCTTCAAATATGCAGCCACGGCATTATCTTGATCAATCTTATGATGTTCCAAATCTTTAAGTGCTTCCAGATAAGCCACTTCCACCTCCAAACGACGACTGTTTTCATCTTCGAGTTTTTTCTCCCAATACTTCTGTATCTCTCCTCTCTCAAGAAGTTCTGTTTTGATCTCTTTCATTGCAAACTGTCGTGAAGATTTCTCAGCTTCTAGCTTCAAGAATTCATGGTGAATTGATTCGGTAATTCTTCCACTTGTCAGTGCCACTGCTGCTTGTGCCTTGGTGCACGGTTTCCCGGGCTGAAACCGCTTGCCCTGACCTGATATACAGCCCAGTATGTCAAATTACATAATTACCCCTGTGGGTGAGCTATGTAAGGAAGAAAGAGAGAGAAGAGAACCAAAAACTTTTCTCATTATGCTTTTGTCGTTAGCCAGCATGTCCATAAAAAGCCCTGGCAACACATCCGACTTGAGATCCCTTGCATCCAGAAAGCCGATTTTGTTCCTTAATATCTGGACTGTAAAAATGTCAGTTCTTAAAGACACGATAGACCACACCAGTCATTTCTGTACATCACCAGTGATTATAAATCAAAGAAAATAACGAAGGTTTGAATGAACTTCAATTTATTCCTACCTCTTCATTTACTCCTGGCATGACTTCATACTCTAACTTGGCTCTCCAACCTATGAGATCCTCACGTGATATCAATCTAGAAACCAAATAGATCTATGAAATTTAAAAAACACGTAAAAAGAGAAACAGAAAATTCAATTTGCCAAATATTTAACTACCTCTCAGGGAAAAAGTTTACACCTCCAGAGCTCTTTGAACTATCCAAATCAGAAGTTAAGTTTTTACCGGACAGCTTGCTCAGAACAACGCCAGCCTCAGCCAGGGCTAGTGTACAGATATTCAGCACAAGATAAGCATTTTTAATATTTTTGAAGAAAAAAATAAGGCATGTAATACCAGCTTCTTCAACGTCAATTTCCAATAATACCTTGAATGTACTCAAAATCAGGATCTTCACCCCTCACGTCATCAAAAGCGTTAGTGATAGATCCAGCAAGTGCAATAGATGGGATTATCCTATTCTTCGGATTCCTGAAACAGCAAAAATTCTTAATGAACTAGAACTACATCCGTATTCTACCTTATAAACGTTGAGCCAAATGCATGCAAAAGCTGATACCTTTCAAGTCTGGAGTTAACTAGAACCAACCATCTTGCATATTCTCTCCTAGTACACAATTCATCTGCATTGACTTCGTCATCAATGATCTGCATACCTTAATGAGAGGTTACAGAGTAATGCTTAGAACTGAACCTACAAATTGGTCCGTGGTGGAAAACTACTGAAGTGCACACACATGAATCAATTAAATAAAATGAAAGAAGAAATTATTTGGTTGATGAACAGTTACTTAAATAATCAAATATCAATTAATTAATATAAAGAAAATAATCTTTAGTTTTCATATATACCAACAATGATATCGAACTAGCGATAATGTAGTCTTACCAGGTCTTTATTATTATTTTTATTACAATGAATAATGGTCATGCTCCCTGCATCCAAAAAATGCAACAGTGCCCTCGTCCAACAAAGCAACATTTCCTTTTCCGTTAATGTTGTTATTTGAAATTAGTAACTTTGATTGTGTTCCACAATCTTTCTTTTGTTTTCTCCTTATTAAGGGACATTATTCGTTTAACGATCAAACATTTTTATTAAACTCTGTATCAAATCAACCATTGCAATATTTTGAGACAGATGGAACAATAAATAATTACCAACTTATAAAACATTTGTCTTAAAAGTCAGTTACATAGGTAATTGAATAGTAAGTTCCAAATTTTCAATTATTTAGAGTCATATTAACAATAATCCGTAGTAGAACATTTTGATTGATTGCTTTGGTGTTAGGATTTTATAAGAGTTGGGAACCACTCACTTGAAAGATTCCATGGGAAAAAACAGTATGTGATGTGTCTTTGTTAGAATTCTTCCAAGTGTTTTACATTTTTCTAGCCTATCATGAAACTGATCGCTAGGAGGGTTCCAGATAGTTTCAAGTCCTTTTTCTGGTGAATATTAATGCATATATTGGCCTGATATAACTTCTAAAATAATAAACATTAACTAAAAAGACATCCATGAAGCACCAAAAATGTTTGGGAGAAAAATGGCTCTAAATTGTACATGTTAAAAAAAGGGATATGTTGGGGTTTGTGGCTAACTCAGTTAATTTATCATATAAGTATATGAATGACATCAAGCCAACAGAAATCCTTGAACTACTTATAGTAAAAGTGTTACCGGTTTAGGACAAGATCACTAAATACAACAGACCAATCTGTAGTTTAAAAAACAATATCTTGTTAAAGGGAAGACTCACTCCGTCAAACTAATTCAGTTTGATAACAATTTGATAATAACCGTATCACGGAATAATATTATCGTAAACCTAAGTACAAAACATGACTTGCAACACAATACCTTCAGATTCTTCAACCACAATAGAGCCTCCTGCTGAGTAGCATCTGCAGAAACTGGAACTACAACTCTTCCAGGCTTTCCTTCTTCCCACTTAACATGATCAATTACTGTGAAATATAAATGAAGATAAAAAAATATAAAGCAAGCATAACATCAGCCACAGTAACACTAACACCAATGAATGGTATCAAAATCCGTGATCTCTGCCCATTATAAAAAACAAAATGCCGAGGGCACACTTCCAACGCATTTATCACCAAAATAAAGATGTTGTCAAGTGTTACTGGACAATCATATTAAGAACCATAATGAAAAGACGGATCTATCTCCTTACTTTCTCAGAAAAATCCCAGAGCGCCAAAGTTCGATTATTTTTACATACTGGGTTAAAGAAAGAAGCTTACCAAGCACCCTAGTAACTTGTACTTTTGTTGCAAAATCTGTTTTCTTTAAGGAATTTACAATAAATCCGCTAGCAGCAGCTTACAAATCATTTCTGAATTAGAATCCCAAGTACAGTTTCCAGTGGAACCATCATACCATATGACGCTTCTTTATAGGTAACGATTATGAAGACTGGCCCTAAAGGCTGAAGCCTCATTGCACCAAGGGCTGGCAGCCCTTTGTTGCTTAAGATTAGTAGCAAATTATACGAATCTTTATGTATAACGAACAAACAGTTAAGGAACTACAAAATACCTTCTGCTGCCTCATCAACTTCTTCATAAACATTTTCCATCAATGGCTCATTAGGAGCTTCAGCCACCTTTGATGTATCTTCTGAACTCAGTGATTTATCATCAACAGAGACATGAAATGGACTGGCAAATCGCAAAACACGGCCTGAAAAGAAATCACAAAAAGATTCTAAGCCATGTCCATTTTCAAAACATTGCATTGCATAACAACTATAAACACAATCCCCTAATTCCAACCAATCAAAAAGATCTATAAAAGTGAAAGATTTACCTTTTCTTGATAGAGTAAAACGAGCAAACACAGCAAGTAAAGCCACAATTGAGGTCCCAATACCAAACACGAGAAATGTAGGCAACCCTGATTCATTAAAGACTCATTACAATCATTACCCAATAAATTTCACAAAATTTGAAGTTTAGAAATACAGCAGAATTCAGCAAGCCCTCTATTCAAGTCTACCTCCACCTGGACAGATTATATCTCCCTCCATCCAACAGAAAAAAGGGCTAGGCGGCGATAATTCCAGAATTCTGATATGCAAATTTTATATGACAATTGTTTCACATTTAGATCCAATATATTTCCATTTATACTTTTTAACAAGTGTTTAAGGATTCCAATCTAGAAAGAGAATTGATAGCTTGTATTTCTGTCGGATCAATTATCATTTTAACGATCAACTTCTCCCATTTGTAAGCTTCAATGCAGTAATCAGATTGCTGTGAAACAATTTAAATTCCATATAACTATCTTGTTTGATATCCAATGTCAGAGTGTAGCTTTCTGCAAGGGGTAAATAACATAAAAATAATCTAGGGCTTCAAAGTTCTACCTTCTTTGTGTTTCTTTGCGCTTACAGTTTCTTCCAGAATTGCCCAACCATTGTAGTCTTCAGCGTCCCGTCGATCAGAAGAAACCCAAGACAAATGTAAGTTATCTCGAGTAATTGACGCAGACAGAGATATTAATCTTCGTCCTCTAGGGTTTCTGGGTCTGAGAACACCTTCATCGGTCAAAATTGGAAATGGGTGTGAAATTTTAAGAAAGAGGCGATTTCTCCGAGGGAGATGTATAGGCAAAAAGGTGGATAGAGAGGAAGAAGAGCACATTCTCTTCTTCTAATGCTGTAATTTTAGCAGAAAATTTTGGGGTTTCTTGGATTAGGATGAATCCAACGTCATGTTTTTCAAGAGCCTACAAATCGAAGAAGAAAAAGGGTTTAGCTTCGATTGTCAAAACTAGTTTGATTTCCACTGTTTCCAGAGTTTCGACCGTCAAGGATTTCCCCAAATGATCAATCGACTAGATGTTTTAAACCCCTTATCTTGTTCTTTTAGGTGTTGGGCTACATTTCAAAAGAAGGAATAAATAATATTTAATTAACACAAATAGTCCTTGAAAGTGAGATTATATTTTTGGATTATGGTTTGAATGAAGTATTGAATAGATGTTTTTTTGCATAATATTATTGATGTTGTTTAAATTAAGATCAAATTAAATTTTGAAGAGTAAACATTATTTTTGGTCCTTATGCTTTATTCGATATTTCATGATTTGGTCTCGTCCACTAACGAGAATTTAGAATTTCATAAAGCCAAGGGTATCGAATTTAGGGGTTGTTCGGTTTGTTTTTTGGGCATGTATGGATATAGTTGTCTGTATATTGACAGATAAATTGTTGTTCGGTTATTATGCTGAATAAACAGTCTGAATATCAGAAATGACCATCCCCAACCTACATTAAACACTATTAAAGCATTTGTTTGATAAAAATGTTGAATATTTGATATTAAATGGTTAAAAAATATCTATTCAAAGTTTTTTTTAAATAAAAACAATTTACCAAGTCGTATCAAACCCAAATTAGAACAATTTCATTCTCAAAAATATCAAACCCTAATATTTTTTTCAAATCTAAAATCTTTCAATTAAAGTCAAGTATCAAATCTGTAATTGTTGGTGGGATTTTAGATGTTATTGAGGATGAGATTGTTAAAAAAAAGGTATTTAAGTACAAAGTTTGGCTGAATGTAGACAAGTGTCTTTCTCAAGCTATCCAAATAAACTCTTGGTTTTCAGATTAAGCCATAACCAAACAGTCAATTATGGCTGAACGAATAAGAGGGATTGCAAAATGGGGGCAGATATAAAAGTCTGAAATATGTAAAGACTGAATAACATATCTGTGTGTTGAAAAAGAAGACAATAAACAGCTTAGTCTACAAACAGCTCCACCACAATCACCTGGTTCCAAAGACGGGGAGAAATATATAATATATAGGTAACTGAACACAGCTCCTACATACATAATAATAATAATCCTAACTTTATTTTCAAAATTCAAATCAAACACCACCATTCCATGCCTTTCACAACCAGCCAGCCAGCCAGCCATTTAGTATAATCTACAACACAAGAACATCAGTAATCACGAGTTGGATTTGGCGTTCTCCCACCACGGCCCCTCCCACCATAGCTGCTGTTGTATCCTCCTCTCCCATAATAACCCCCTCCTCCTCGTGAACGACCTCCTCGGTATCCCCTACCCCCTCGGTATCTAGAGAATTCACCAAATGTCTGCAGGAATAATAAACCCAAACACACGCACATAAATAAAGACGCAGAAACCCCTACTATTAATATTAGCGTTAAAGCAGACTTCACCTCTGTATCTAGTTTCATCTGCTCAGAGAACCTAGTCCTTCCGTTATTTGATTGATTGCCAAGGGAATTGCAAGATAACGTATCAAAAAAGTCATCCTTGCTATAAACAGCCTGCAGATTGCACAATAGATTCCCGTACAAAGCATTAGTCATGTCAAATTCCATGCTACTATACACACACAAAGTACCCCATCTGTCCAATAGAAATTGCAACAAGTTCTATTACGGGTGCGTTTGGTATGCAGATGGGACTGGAAGGGAAAAAGTGAGGTAGGCAGGTGAAGGAATTCTGAAAAGTTATCGGTTCTAATTTGACAAGGGTAGTTTAGTAATTTGTCAATCTTGTCTTATGTTCCTGATTTTTGTTCCACCTAGGAGCATATTGAAAACACAATTTTGCCCCCACTCAAGTCCTGTCCTATCCCTGTCTAGTGTCAAGCCAAACATGCGACATGATTTTGTACTGTCATGTACCATCCTGGCCAGCGTACCAAAAACATAATGTCCTCTAAAATTGCAACACTTCCATTTTTGGGGTTATAATCAAGTTAGCAAATACCCCATTCATCCATCATCATTGTTACATAAAAATTGATAATACAAGATCCCCTTATCTTGCCATTAGTGAAATGTATTTGACATTAGAGAAATAGTCGGCATTTCCCCATATTAGACGTTGCAATTTTCGTGGGAAGGAGGAAATACATGCTAGGATAGAAACATCACCTTGGCATCCAATTTTGGTAGATCAGCATCATTTTCATCTTCATATTCATCCTCATCACTAGCAATTCCGTCGTTCTCCTTTGGGCTGGATCTGTTACCTTTTCCTAAGGTTCCCCAAATTTCATCCTTGTTGAATTTCTCATTCATTGCATTAAAATCGAACTCCTCAGTGAATTTCATCACGGGTCGTGATCCCTGGATCTTGAAATGAATATTTAATGCTCACATAAACATCAAGATAAATAGTAGAGTGCCACATATAACAATTAGAAAAACAAAATTCAGATCAGAGTGCATTATCCCCTATCAACAGTTCGAAAACCTAATATGAAACAATTATGCACAACCGTGTCCATCAAATGAAATGTTTGGAGTGGCAAGTAGATGGGGAACCATCATTTTACCGATGTAACATGACAAGAAGCAAAAACCGTTCCAACAAAAGAGCAAACCAAAGTGCAGCTTTCAAAATTTCCATTCACATGAAGTGTAAAGTGGAACATTTTATCTGGTGCCCAAAAGAAGAATACGACTCTTTGGAGTCAAATGGACCACTTCTGGATTTGCAAAACTGTTATCAATGTTTTAAGATTTCCGTAGAAAACGCAGAGATGGTGAAGAGGATATTTGGCACTACAATAAGCCTAAGAATTCTACTGGAAGCATATAGTAACCAACAAAACTGCAAAATACTTTCTCCATTAAAATGAAATGGCCTTGATGGTGAAATCATTCCATACCCAAAAGTCTAGACATATTACATTTAAATACATTCTACTAAGAAAATAAAAGCAGATATTATATGTGAACACTGATTTAAAAATAACATGAAGATAAAACTTTAACACTCGTATGATTAGCTGTATTTGAGAAGAAACTCACCGCTTTTTTCAAAAAATTGAATGATCTCAAATAAGTTTTCTTTGTCAAGGAAAAACATGAATCTTATGAATACAATTCCTGTCTGATTCACCATCATATTGATGAATCATGAATCAACTCATTATAACACAGTTCTATTTATTTTCCCCTAGATTTCTTACTTCAGTTGCATCGTTTGCTCATTTATGTGTATAACTTATTGATTAAAAAGTTATTAGCAGCCACAAGAATCGGAAGGTTTTCTGTTGGTAGTTTGTAAGCTGTCATGAGACTAATGAAATACTGCATAGTCTCGTTAATACAGGTATATTATGGTTTATACATCACTAGAATGCTTAGTTTTTGTTTTATATTATATGCATGTATTAATTATTTAGGAAAAGGTTGAGGCGAATATATGATTACATTCAAATTTTGGTTCATGATTGATGAAATTAGTAGAAAATTTGATTCACGAATTAATAACCATGAAATTTATCAAGAAAAAGGTGTAATATTATCGTCGAGTTTCTAAACGTGAAAGAACTAAAATTTACAAAATCGGGTTGTAACTGAAAGGTTCAATAAACTAGAAGAATCGTGTCTTTAAGGGGAAAACAGAAGCCCCATAAGTTCAGTTATGTAGTTGTGTTATTGGTGTCAAGTTAGAAAATAAGTAAATCAAAGAAATCGGATACAAGAACATTAGGGTCGTCAAAACAGTAAAGTTCAAATATGTAAGATTGAGATGTATGTGCAAAAAAATTACCCCAGATCCTCTGCCTCTCTCGCGTCCTCTGTAATTGTGACCCTGACGGTTCTGGTAAGGAGCTCCGTTTGTCTAAAAACAGAAGAAAATATTCATAATATAGAAAACATAAACACTTCGAAGATGATAAAACATTTTAAATCCTTATATGGCCAACTCCACAAGAGGACCGGTATGATCTACTGTGTAATAAAACATACTTTCCCTCTGCAAAAAAGATAGCCCCAGAACATCAACATGTGCATCTAAATCATTGTTGATCTCAAAACAATCAAAAAGCCTCCATAAACAGAAATATAAGTGGTGGCACAGAGCATAAACTCATCTTATGATTCTTATCTAGCTGTGTTTTCAACTATTTGGGGTCAGCTTATATCCTTTTGTAATAGACAGCATTATTCTATGTAGAAACTAAATAGATAACCCTCATAGTCCATGTTCATTTTTTTCTTACTCTTACCTTTTAGGTAATCATCGATATTCGTATCTGGCACATTAAAGTTATAAACAGATACATTGCACTTCAATTTTTTCACTTTTTGCTGACTAAAATGCTATATAGGTTGTAGTTACTTCGCTTTGTAGTATCTTTTACTTTCCCTATTAAGGTAATCACCAATTTAGTAATTTGAATCATCAGCCTTTAAATGTGAATAATCCACACAGGCCACTTTCTCTATCACACTATCTATGTGAGAACAATTAAACAGATACAAATCAAACATAACATAAACCATCTACATTATAACGTGGAAAATTGAAGACTGGTACCTTTGGGAGGATCCGAGATTGAGGTGGTAAAGGCAATATTGGAGGCTGAGCTTCTGTTGGAACTGGAACTGGAAGAGGAGCAGATGGTTCTGATGATGGCGTTGGAACTTGAACAACTTCCACATCCTTGTGAACAGCTTGTGTGAATTGAGATGAAACAACTGCGGTTTGCCCAGACTGAAGCAGCTGTCCTGGAGTTACAAGTGATGGCATGGGCGATTCAGCTGGGACAGCATTAGACCCAGTGACAGATGCGATAGGATAGGGCATGCCCGTATAACGCAAATGTGCTTCAGAAGGCACATTAGGCTTGTTAGAGATGGGAGGTACAGTAACATTTACATCAGTAGTATTCAACAGAGACAATGATTGCAAGCTACCACTTAGTGGTGCTGTCGGAACGACAGAGTTAGAAGGCTTATTTTGCATTAGAGATGGCAAGGTATCAGTAGCTGATACTGAAGGTGGTCCAGGAGGGAGACTGGAAGGCAGGGTTGATCCCAGTGAAGCGGTAGAGGCTATATTGGCTGAATTCATAGATGTCATCGATAAATGAGATGGATATTCAGGCATGTTTGAGGCAGGCAGGCTTGGAGCTCCACCTGGCAAGGATGCATTATAAGTGGGATAATGCATAGGTTGCTGCAGAGGAGGCACTGATAGCCCATGGGGTGGTCGTAACAGTGACTGTTGATGCAACTGGGGAATCCCACTTGGTGGGGCATAAAACCCTGGCCAATACATTGGCATTGCAAGCCCGCTACTATTTGCATTTGGAGGAGGTGGCATAGGTCCCCAAGACCCCAGATTCCCACCAGGCTGATATAAAGGCAATACACCTTGCAAAGTTGATCCAGGATGTCCTAGTTGTGCATTATGGATGCTAGGATCAGGCAAGGAGTTACTAGCAGCAGCAGGCAAGCTTGAAGATGTTGGAGGAGGCCGAGGATAGTGTGACTGCATAAAGATTATAGCAGCATTCAGACAGTTAGATAATTAAAGGTGTTGCAAATAAATACACAGTTTCTTCTATATACCTGAATAATGGCAGGATCACTGTTTATCTGTTGTATTGGCTGAACAGGCAAAGATGATTTCACCTGAAGATCCTGTAAAGATAAAATAAAGTAACTTCAACATCTCAGTTACTAGAAAATGGAAGAATCTGACCATCACAAACAAAATATACAGTAGAGAAAAACTCAAACTGACACTAGCAAGAAGATGTCAAATCACTCAAAAAGTTATATCGTGTCACAACCAAAGGTAAAACTTTCCCACTTGCCTATTCTACCTTAGAAAGTCATTTCACACTTTTCCACACTCTGAAAGCATGTATTAGAAGTCAATATCATGTTCCATACTAAATAAATTCATGAATATCACACAAGCTGTATCTCCCCTATGGAAGTTTCTAAGAGAGATGGAACAAGCCCACACATATAAAATCAGTTTAGAAGCAAGATGGCATAAATAAAAAACTGAATTCATAAGAATCATCCAAGCTCCTTCTCCCCTATGAATGTTTTCTAATTTAATAACTATTACACCAACAAATATATACAATTCCTGGCATATCCTCAACACAGCTCATCTCATGAAATCAACATATATTTTTTAATAAAATAACATTCCCAAACTCATCATATGTTGCACAGATGAGATTAAAATATCTCTAAATCACCTGGCTTCTAGCTTATACTGATACCATTCAATTTCAATCAATCATCTTCCTTTTGCAGACCTCAGATCTAATACCTACCAAACTTGTAGCATTCTTTTCGGTATACCATATCCGATCTAAACTTGATTAATTTACATGCAACAGTAGACCTAAAAGATTTCCAAACTAATACGTCACTAGCCAAAATATCACAACTATCACTTCATCTAGCCATTACATAGAAACTATAACAGTATAACCAAAATCCTGCAAACAAGTATCACTTCCTTAGACCGTCACATGGAAACGGGAACCAAAATCCTGTTCAATTATACTTTTCATGGCATCTTTTAAAGAATATCACAACAGGATTGACATAGCTGCAAAAGCTACCTTTACAGAAAAATTAATCATATAAAACCCTCATGCCTTAAATCGTCACCTACCAATATCACGTCAATCTCAATATGTAAAATCAGTTCAAACAAATTCAGACCAGACGAGCGTAACAGATCACATCCAAAAAGGCAGTTTCATTTAAGAACCTTCGTCGCAAAAGAAACTGGTCTATCTCCACCACCCCCTTCCTCTCTCAATCTCTACTAAAATCTTTGGTTACCTTTCTGTCAATGCTATTTAATAAATATCTCCATGTTTCACTTTAACCCACTATACTTATTTCACACAAATCAGCCACCAGTAATAAACCAGAAACCCTTATTGTCAGCAACAGGGCTCCGACATATGTGACCACTGATTCTGTCAAAAAATCAGAATGTAAGGTTTTGAATACAATTCTAAAAACATATTCGTTCATAGATGTATTCCTCTCTCTAATCGCATGTGACCATTCCAATTTGGAATTTTTTTTTGAACTTTATATTATTCTTTAGCAACCATTTTGATGTCATTGGAAGACCTGCAGCCATTCCAAAAGCAAGCTTGGCCATAGCAGCACTGGCGAGTGCCTTTCTTTTGAATCTGGTCATGAAAACCTTCCAGCCAAACATTCCTTAAGATCAGGGAAACCAATTGGTGCCTTGGTGGTGGGCACCTCCACCCTATTTTCTCAGACACCAAAAGCAAGTGCTACCCATATTGCTTATGCTCACAAAACCATGATAAAAAAGAACTACTCTCCTGGAGTTTAATGATTTCCACAGGCACGTGCAATTTTGCAACAACTGGGATAGACCTACTATAAGTAACAATCAAAAGCCAAGTAACTAGTGCAAAAGATATTCCTTTTATGATAGAAGAAAATCATAAAAGATATAGGAGCTATCCCAATCACCGAAAATACCGCATGCACTAAATTTAGAACTCAGGCACACAGTACATGAATACTCAGCCAGTGACAATATGGAATTCAACCACTTTATAGTTACATTACCTTGATGTCACTTCCGCGAAACAATATGTATTCATAAACCTTGTCGCTGGGCATGAGTTGGGGACCATCCTTTTTTCGCCCTTCGGTTCCAAATGATCTTACTGCAACCAAATACATCATTAATAATCTCACACGGAGCTGGTATTTGAAAGTAAAGACAATATAAATGATTAAAAAAAAGTAGAACCAACCAAGTACAAATCAAGAGTATACCAACATATGGTCAATGTTAGCAATTTGGTTCCAGGTAGTTACTGGAATAATCAGCCAGATAGATAGATTAATCTTGATATCAATTTTTGTTGTAGTGTCAACTTAATTTAAAACGAAATATTACAGCAGCATTGTTGCAATTCCACAATTTCAAAAAAAAGTCGATTCATAAAATAGATTCGAGATAGTGGAAAATATCAAAGGAGTTGGTCATGGGTAAAAACGTGTGGTCTTACATGGGTTAATTGACCACTTTAAAGTTTCAGTTCAGTTCTACTACCCCAACTAGTTTGCGATCAAAGGCTTGTTAAGAAGAGTTGGGTCCACATGACATATCCATCAAATTACTTGCAACATTAATGCAACCCAATAATGAAGATCAAAGCTTGATGGAACTAAGTTGATATAACATACTTTGCGGTTTTGTTCACCAATAAAAAAATTATAGGTTTGAAACGCAGGGTAAAATCACATACAAAAAATTGTCACCAAATCTGGTTAATTGTGTAGTCTGTAAAACTTAAACAAGAGATAGATTGACATGGTTTGTTGATAACAATGCATCCCCTCCATCTTAAATCCTTCTGATGTTCGCTGCAGAATCATATGCTTCCAAGCACTCAATTTGAATTGTCTCCATTAATATACAAACACACACATAGTAACAATATTAGGATTTAACTACCACAGAAAATAAAACCTTTAATCAAGAACAGCGGAGGGTTTTCACTTCCAAAATCTTTTCAATTTCGACAATTCTATAACCCTAATCGCAACGGAATCAGAAAGAAAAAAAAAAGAGAGCAGAAACAGGGATCGGCAGAAAAACGTTTAACAAGAAACTAAATGCAACAAGATACCATTACGCAATCCGATTGAGGATTCTTCAGTGTTGATGTTATACAAAATGCCCTCGTATCTGATTTCACTCTTGGAAGTCAAGCTAATCAAGCTTCCAATATACGAATCGGCCGTCGAACTTGACGATCTAGAACTTTCTGCCGCCATAGTCCGCTGCTACTACACACTTGGAACTTGGAAGTAGCGAAGAGACCGAATTTCTTGACTTGCTTGAAGTGGTTCTTTGTTTTGTAAGAGAGAATCGTTTAGGGTTTTTTTCAGTTCCTGACGCTTACATGCTTTTCCCTTCTGGGCTGTATTTGGTTTATCGGTTCCCAAACTCAACCAAATGCGCACAAGCCTTGCTTTTTGTTACATCAATTTTTCCATATATATCTTTTTTCCCCTAAAATTATTAAAACCTAACGAAATTTGTATTAATTTTTTTTTCTTAATCAATATAATAAACAATTAATGTATGATAATAATAATAATAATATGGAGAGATTATTCTAAATTTATTAATAGTATTATTACCAGTAATTATGTGTATACAAAATTAAATCTTAAATCAGACGTTTTTTAAACATATAACATATCAAAATAATTCAGTTCACAAATCATATCGAATTGGTTGTTAACCTCCCATGGCTATAACGAATGGTCAAATCCTCGTATCAGAAGAAACAAACAAATCGAATACGTATTAGATATAACTGGTCTCAACCAACAGTTCATAAAATAAGTAAACAATACGTCTAAAGCATGTTTACTGACATATACACTTAAGAACTTTGTTATTCTTGTGTCGCTTGTAAAGGTACTCAATAATCAACAATGATGCAGAATATTAGCCTCCAGTTCGTATCACTGATTGGGGGATACAGTTCAAAGAGAGAACAATAAGTAAAATGATTAATGAAATTTTAAAAGAATATCATTATGAGAACAATGTAGATTTTTATTGATTATTTCTTCTAGTACAGACGAACTACTGTAAGTCTTTGAAACAAAGGGACCAATACAATTTTGTGAAGTTCTTTCGTCCAGATGGTTCGACTTAACTTGCACACACCTGACTAATACCATAGGACCCTGAATATAACAGTCAGAAAAGTCACAATGGTCTTGAAAGAAAAATTGTGTATAACAACATTGGCAAAAGGGTTCATCATTTTACACGTATGTGTTCGACGTATATTTGAGGACCATCATTCTAGTCGGTAGTATTCACTAGTTTGACGTTGATGTCCATAAAACGACATGAAATAAATGAGTTTCTACGAGTATGACCATGTGATATATTTGAGATGGTATATTTTGCCGATTGTGTTTCCTTTTGTAAAGCTGACTACATGCTTTCACGTGATATCTTGATAGGAATTGTTCCTCGTACTTGCTATAATTGTCAACATCTAATAATTAGCTTGATCTTAGACGACGGAAAAGCAAGTTATTATACATCATGTATGCATATTGTTTACAGGTGGATACATGAAGTGTTCGGATTAAATTACGCATATTTGTAAAATTCAAACCCTAATTTACTCAATATACATAAACAAACTTATACTAGTTAATTAAATGACATCTTTGTATAACGAATTGAAAATTTTGCTCCTTCCAGAACTTTTGGATATGGTAATACAGTATTCAGATCACTTGATTCTATCTTACACAGTTTTTGCAACGCATTCCAAAGGCATTTGCTTGATGTATAAAAGAAGGCAAATCTAGACCTCATCAAATCTGTAAAAGTTTGGAAGAAAACTTATCATCGTTTTTTTTTCTCTCTTCTAATATAAAGTTTCGATAACACGAGCGTTTTTTTTACTCTCCTATTATTTCCCTCCATTTTGTTTCTTTTGTAAAAAAAAGGTTTCGGTAACATAACGTTAAAACATCTCCGATAGATTCTTCAAAAAATGGAGAATCAAAAATCAAAATCTCCAAATAAATTTTATATTCTCCTGTGACAACTTATTCATTTTAGATATTACAGTATGAATTATATTATTAAAAAATTTAATACCTATTAAATATATATTATTTATCTCTCATATACATTTAATTCAAATATTCTTTTTGGTAGGAATAATATTTTTAAAGAGTTCTCTAAATTTTTACAATTTGTCTCATGTTTTCTCCATTTTAAAAAGATTTTGAGGAATATTTTGAAACAAAAAATCCCCAAAATCTCCATTTTGGAGGATCTTTTCGAGACGATGTTACCTGCTTGATAACATGAGACTAACAACGTTATAAGAGCATCTCCAACATATTATTAAAAAATCCTCCAAAATGGAGAATGAAACTCACAAAATTTCCAAAACAAAAATATATTCAACTCCAGTAGATTCTATATTTTGAAGATTACAACATTGATTATATTATTAAAGTATTCATTTAATTTAATAAAAGGTTATTTACCTCTCTAAACATTTATTTTCAAAGTTTCCTATTGGTGAAAAATGAATTAAATAATCTCTCTCATCGTAGTCATTTTTTGGATCATCTACAAATTTGGAGATTTTTACACTCTCTCTCTCTCTCATATTTTTCCATTTTAGAGAAAATTTTGAAGAATCTGATGGAACAAAAAAAAATGCCGAAAATTATTTTTTTAATCGACTAGAAAAGACAAGTCTAACAGACGGTCCCATTCATGAAAAGCTCTAATCCGAACTAATTTATACACATCTCAACTAATCCATAAGACTTTGATACCACAAGTTTTAAGAAATTGTTGTGCATATGGCATAGGAGTAGTAGGATGGAGAGGGCTAAATGGGCAATTATGTAATTGTAGACTACTTGTATGATCATTCACTATCCTATCCTATCCTATCCTATGAACTCACTTCCCCTATTTATTACAAAGCAAATTACCACACTACCCTTACAATTGTGGTCCAAGACTACCACCCTTTCTCTAACCTTAGGTTAAAGATTGGGGGAAAGTAAACAGTTTTAATGAAAAAACAGTAACAAAAACACAATGGTTTAACTTTATAAGTTAAAAGTAAATTATTTTAAACAATTAGCCACATTGACTGCACATTGTACCTTGTTTCTGAAGTTATTTGCATGTCCAATTACAAGGGTTCAAAAAATATGGTACAACCTTCCAAGTACATGGTACAAGCACCCATGATTTCCTTTTTTTGTCAGAGGAATTAAACTTTGTTATAAACCCATTTAAATATTATTTTTAAACCTTAACTACATAGGCAACCACTTGGATTATAGCTGATTCATTAATCCTCGAGAGATGTATGAAAAATCTCATTTATCCGACTGTAAATTCATACGATGTCGAAACCCTTGTAAAATGGATAAACAATATGAACAAAAACCATGATGGAAGATAGATTTAATGGTGTCAGACTCTCTTGGGTTTAATCCTTTCCCCTTTCATATCAACCTCAGAAAGCTCTGAATTATCCTTCAGATATACAACCACTTACAGTTACAGATGCTTCCATTGTCTTCCATGCATCTTCATGCATATTTACAGATACCATTTCCCCCCTCCATTCTATTCATCTTCAACCTCCAAATCCTTTCATATTCCTTTTGTTAATTATTCACAAAAATCAACATCTGAAATGTGTTCTTTATATGGTCTTCAAGTGATCTTAAATAATATTTCTTAATTAATGATGGCTGTTTAACAAAAGTTGTTTTTCATACCTGAAGGGAACATGGCTTGTCTTGAAACTTGAAAATGGGTATTGAGGAGTGGCACCTCAGCAAGTTTGGAACTTGAGCTTTTCAAACAAACCCCC